TATCAAAGGGAATTATTTTTTTCACACAACTCATAGCTAAATCGAGTCCCTTTTGGCTCAAGGGAAAAGCAAGGTAAAAACCTGTGAATGAGACTTAAGAGCAATTCTGGCAAGGATATTAGATTATATGAATTCTTAATCAGACCCCAAACTACTGATTTTATGCTCCTGTGATTTGTACCTCAATAGTAGAAGCTTCTGCTGTGTATAGCTAGAAGAGTACATACTCATATGCTCATATGCTCCAGTGCTACTGGAGCACATATACTGTATTACAGCTCAATTTGTACTATCCAGATATTCATTGTAGTATTTTGGTATTTCAGAAAGTAATAGAATATTGACACACAATTTGTTCAATTCTTGTTTAATTATTACAAGATATAAGTACACTGAAATGCATGAGTCTCTAAAGAAAATCATTATTAAGCATGAGTCTATACACAGACCATTACTATAATGTAAAAGCAGTTTCCAAAACACATACAAATTCTTTTAATGAAGATACATATTTCTGTTAGCCCATCAGTTATATTCTGGGTTCTGCTCGTTTACACTTGTACATTTGAAATTCAAATGGAGCTGTAGTAGGATAGCACCTCTGAAGCTGCTTTTAACTAGAAACCCTGAGAAATCCTTGCTGATGCCCAGCAGGAGGTTTTCATTCAGCCCCTGGAGCAGAACCTCATTTTCTCCTTGAATACTGCCAGAGCTTTTTCTTGAATATGGAGGTGCAGGGCACGCTTCTAAGTAATGAATGAGAACTGCTGGGCAAGGCATAAAAGCTTCCACATTGAAAAAACATCCAGTTCATGTTACTGTCCCTAGGTGTGCATGCCTTTATGTGCCTAGCACACAATAAATAATCCCTTGTGGTTGAAAAGTACCCAGATACTTGATACGAAAAATGCGAACATCAAAATTATGTTTTTTCTTTTTAGGCATCAGACTGTCATGAAACAAAGACTATGGTGCTATTTAACATATATTTCATGTCACTGCTTAATCTTCCTTTGCTGTGCTGCCTGTGCTTTAATCACCACTCTGTCCTGTTTACCCCACTGCACAGACGCCGGCAGTGCAGGTACACAGTCACGCTGCCCCTGCCCAGTGTCCCTGCGTCCCTGGCACCTGCAGTCCTGCTCCAGGCTGAAGCAGCATCCCTGCTGTGCAAGGGGCTCCGGACCCCAGCACCATCCCCTACTCGCTGTGTGTGTCCCCGTGATGCTCTGTGCTGGCAGGGTGGCCGGTGTGGCCTCTCCTTGCCTGGGAGGGTCCAGCCCCTGCTGCACAGTGGCAGTGGGGTGTGTGTCCATCACCACAGAGCCTGCCTGCTCTTTCCCTGGTGCACTGCGACATATCAATCCCTTGCCTGTGCCAGTGTCCCTGGTGCTGACCTAGCCTGGTCCCCACACTGTGGCAGGGTGGCAGCCCAGGGAAACAGTCCCTGCAGGTGCCCTTGGAGAGCTGGCTCCAGGTGAGGCCCACATCTGCTTCCCTGCATTTAATAAGTGTGCTGGAGACTGCCCACTGACAATTGAATTATTTGTCTTCAGGAAACCGGAGTTGTAGAGAGCCTGACTTCCTGGGTTTCAGCTGCTATTTGCTGCTTCAGGGGGTCTGTGTCTGAAAAGGTGGATCAGGGGCAGCACCTGTGGTTCTTCAGGGTCTTCCAGTGTAGGAAACTGATCTGAGTGAGGACACTAGGGTCTTTTTCTAGAGTTGCTTTTTCTATGATTCACCGAGTAATTTTGTTGAGATATGGTTTTTTTGGTGCTGGCAAAAGATATGGAACAAAGGAGCCCCAAACAAAGTCTGGCATGCCTGTCAGAGATGCCTTGATGTCTGCCAATCCTCCAGCTGCTGGTTCCATCTGTTGTCTCCTGATTTTTTTTCACATGTAACCACCTTAGGGCACAAGCCACTTCTGTGTGTGTGAATCTAGAGGGAGTGGTATGACACAATATAACTCCTCAATGCTTCAGCAATACTGCATATAATATTAAAAATGCTCAGCAAGAGATTTCCAGTATATTTCCAGCCACATCTGAAATAAACTTCTAATTAATGAATAATCAAGAATATCAGTGTTCCTTACACTCTAGTTAAACATATGTGGCAGCTCTGACTTTTGTACTGAAGCGTCTTTATTGTCACTTTAATAGTTTTCTTTTCCTCAAAGATCCCTACAGGGCACTTCCAGAGCATTTGACTGGCAGTGCCTGCCTGTGCGTGCCCACAGGCACATGCTGATCTTCTGAGTAAGAGCTGAGCTGGTGGACACTGGCTTTGAATCACCAAGGGTTGCTTGTTCATCAACATTTTGCTGCTGTCCTCTCTTGACCGTTCAGCTGCTCCTCCCAGTGTGACTTGCCTCAGTCTCTCTTCCTCTTCCCAAATGGGAGGTCTCTCTTCCTCTTCCTCTCAAATGGGAGTCTGTTCTCCCATTTTCACTCCTCCTCCCTTTACTTTCCCACAAGCCACATTTTTTCATGCTCTGTCATGTAGGGCTGGGAGCACACTCAGCCTCTGCCAGGCACATCCAGGGCCTGGTCACAGCCTCCTGTTGTCACCTGCAATGCTGGGCTGGGCTGCCTTGCAGACAGCACACACAGCTGGGCTCGAGGGCTGGCTTCATCCTCAAGCCCTTGTGTTCATGGAAAAGTGTAGCCACTGAAAATAGCAGTGCACTTGAAGAGGTGTTATACTTACACAAGTGATGCCATGCTTGTTAGGTGTGCTTATGTTGCTGCTATTTGCACACAAGAAGGGGGGTAACCTTTATTTTTGTTTTTTAATTTTTAACTTTTTATTTTTGTTGTCTGGATTTATGCTATGCAAACTTCTTCCACAGCTGATGGTGGTCCACAATTGTCAAAGTAAAAGATTACCCTTCTACTTGACATGCTTGTAATTTGTGTAGAAAAACCCTAATAAATCACAGAAAGAGAGAAGATGAGAAAATGCAGCTACTGTGTCATTGTACTGCAGATTAAATCACATGATTTCAAAAATTTCAGCAGCAGCAAGAACAGCAAAGTCAGTAAAACACATTGCAGAAGTACATGCAGTTTTGAGGCAGCCACATGGTGGACATGAGGGCTTCCTCAGGCCTAACAAAAATCTGTCTGGTTGGAGAGGTCTGTTTCAGAGATGGAGGGAGATATGAGGCAGCCCATGGTCTGCTTTTTCTATCTGTGTAGGCTTGGTTGCTCATTTTATTTTAAAAGAGCTTCAGAATGAACAACATATATCCCCCACCTAGGTGAACAATTTTGTTTCAGTCCACAGTATGGCATCTCAATTTCAGCTGCAAAGACTTTGGCTCAGGATGCCAGGCCCTGTACTAGAGCAGCTGAGATGTGGACATGTGCTCCTCTGCCATCCCTGCTGTGGAGAGGGGAAGGTCAGGAAATCAAATGTTGGGATTAGTAACACAATACACCACAGTAAGAAAATTCACCAGGGCTCATCTTCTGGATCCTGAACACTTCTGAGAGAATATTTAAAGTCTTTTGCTTTGGTGTGGGGTTTGGGGTTTTTTTTTAAATTGGTTTTGTTCCTTGGGTTTTTTATTTCTTTTTTCAGTGGACTAAGCTCCTCTATGGATTTCACTCCAGGGAGCCATGGAAGAGCTGGCCTGTTCTCCACGGGCTCATGGAGCAACCTGCAGGAAGACATAACAAAGACTAACAGAACTCTGAAGTAAATGACCTGCAGCCACATTAATTATTGATCATGTTAGCAGTTGATGAGTTGTGCTAAATTGATCTGTGGCAAGATAATGTGAATTAAAAGCTGCTTAAATATTTAGTTTTGGGTTCTTTCTAAATGGCAGGAATTTGAATTAAAGGCTGCACAGGAGTCATGACTGGAATCAACTTTTCAGTAAAGACTAGCTGTCAGAATAAAAGGTACTATCTAAATGTAAATAATGATTTATTAGAGGAGGAATCTCTTGCAGGTAAACATTTTAATGGAGGACTAGAAGTCTTTCCTCACAAAATTCTCTAAAGGTAGGATGATAGATTAAGATTTTCTTGTTATTAGTTTAATTCCCCCATATTTTACTTTAATTAAATGCTGCTGCATCTGAGATAGTGCACAAAGCATTGCAGGGAAGAAGAGAGACTAAAAGCCTGTAGGAAGTGAAGGAGGACTATTGGCTGAAACTCCATATGTTTGTTGCAGCACTGCAATGCTGTACAGCTGGAGCACAGCTTGAGTGAAATGAATCTGTAGATGACTGGTGAGAGGAAGTAAGGGGGCTAATTCTGACATTGGATACATATATGTGTGTGTGTGTGTATATGTCAGGCAAAAGAATTTGCTGATGCCTCTGCAGAGGGGCTTGTAACAGAAGGGAGCCTGTGCCCTGAGCTAAAGTGCCTTTGCCAGTGAGATAAGTCCCACTGAAGAAAAATCACTCCCTCTGAAGAAGAGCTGCTCAGATCCCCTCAGCATGCTTGGATCCTACTGCATTGCCTCACAAACTATTTTGAAAGACTTTATGATGTCATTAATAGAGTTTTGAAGGCTGACATGCATTCTTGGTTGGTTTAGGTGCTGCAGTTCCAAATAAATCCTTTCCTGGCTTCTCCCAGCTTCTCTCCAAAGGAACATCCTTAATGTAAAGCACTCTTGGTCCTTAAGGGGAAATGTGTTTTATCTCACTAGTTTAGTGCAAACAGGCTTGAGTTATCTTTAGCGAGAAGAGAAGGCTCCTGCCTACTGTAGTTTCTTCCTTACAGTTTGTCTCACTTCATTCCTTCATGTACCAGAGAGCACTTTGGTATTCAGGGTTATTTGTCTTGTTTTTTCTCACCCTTCACAAAAGCTGTCCTCTGCTTAACATGCACATTTTTCCCTTCGGAGCCATTTTCCTCTGTAGGCTCTCTGAGCTGGCCAGCTGCCAAACAGTAGGGTGAGCTGCATGAAAAAGCCTTGATCATTGACAGGCTGTCTTACAATTTCTTTCTTGTATTCAAGATGCAGATGGATGTTATTAGAAAGGTTTTTACTTCGAATGTGCACGGCTTGTCCACATGGCTGAGATTAGTGCTCAATACTCATATAAAGCTTTTCATCCTCAAAAGGACTTTACAAGCTCCAGCCCTCAAAACACCCCCACAAGGTAGGTGCCCGAGTTTTGTTATGTGTGTTATAACAAGGAGGGACACGTGTTAGTAACTTGTTCAAAGATGTAGAGCACAGTGAGCATTATAAAGGAAGGAATTATTTACACTTTCCTGATGTTCTTCTGTGATGTGTTCCTATGAAAATAATAAGTTAAAAGACTTCACCATGGCAACATGCTTTTCCCCATGAAAGAAGCGATTATGACATCAAAAATTAAAATGTATCTCAGGTTATAGTACTACTAGATAAAAATGAAGCATTTCTAAAATTTATGAGGCCAAATATGCTACTGCACTAAGTTTCAATTAATACAGCAGAACTGGAGCCTGCAGGGATCGTCAAAGAGAGTCGAATTTGATAGAAGATTTGGAGCATTTGCCTCAAACCATACTTCAAAACAGAGGGAAATGATTATAGGAAGAATGATGAAAAATGTCTTCTCAATTGAAAGGACAGTGCAGGATTATTTTTTTCCTCTGCTTTGACTGCATGATTATAATTAAAACAGCTCCAGTAATCTGAACAGTCCCGGTATGAACTCCCTTCCACTGAAAGTTCTTGTAATATTGTACCTCATCTTGGTGAGGAGGGTGAAATAAGCTGTAGCAGTAAAAGATATCTTTATAATTATGCATTTGCACTGAGCTTCTACTGGCAAGACCAAGCTACATGCTCTACCTTGCACAGACAAGCCAGTGGAAGTTTCCAGTGTTGACCAGCACATGTAACCTGGCCAGGGCCCCTCTGGGATGTGGTTGCTAAACTAGGTGTGCAAGACCTCGAAGGCTGTCTGATAATCATCATTTAAGGTCTTTGTAACCTCATTGGGCCTTAGGGCCTGCATTGGTGGCTGGAAAAATTGGCTTGGAAAACAGCAGCCAACTTGGCCCCATGAGGAATAGTTGAAAAGGCTGTGAGATGGTGAGGCTCTTCTGAATAAACCAGCCAGGGCTAGCTGGGGGACTCTGCAGGCACAAGGGTTTGCTCCACAGACATGCTCCCTCTTTGTGCTTTCTGGGTAAACAGACTGCAAATAGCATGTCTAGCCCAAGCCCTGAGGAGGGTAAAGCTTGATAGGCTAAAGCAAGTGTATCTTTTAATTCTGTTCTGTCTTCCCTATTTTTGATGCAGCTTTGCTTTCTTTCAGATTATTGAGGTTTTTTTCACATAGTGAATACTTGCATAGTTATGTCAATAGAATGAAGGACTCTGCAGCATCTCAGGAAAGATCTTGAGTGTAATTGAACTCTCTGGTGTGTCACGTAGGACTGTATGGTTGGTGCTGCCTACAGTAGGATGAAGAATTGGAATGGTATAAAGTAGTCATGCTTTTTTAACCCCAAAAACTTTCTTATTTTTTTTTTTCCCCAAATACTTTGACATTCCATCTTATCTCCCTCTTGTTTCCCTGAGAAAGGTATCTGGCCCCACAAAGTACTCTGGAGAAAAGGGAAAAGCACGTAATTTTCTGGTTTTATGACTACTCTACAGTGTTTCAGGTAAATTCAGGGAAATGATGGGCACATAAATTAGTGAGATTTTTCTTAAGGGAAATTACAAGTGGAACAAGTTATCACATTTTTATGGTTCCTACATCCTTAGCCTTAAATGCCAGCTACCTGATTTCACTTTATAATTGTGCAAGTGAGTGCATCTAGGCCAATTAAGTATTTTCAGTTGCTTTCAAAAGAGATGCAAATGCCTGCTAGAAGATGGAGATACTATATGATTTAACCTTAATCATTTGGGTTAAGGTTAAGAGATGCTTTCTCAGGGCCATAACTTACCTGTATAGTTTTGAAGAAAGGACATACATGTGCTCATACTGTGAGATATTTTAGTGAATAGCTGAAAGCTATACATTGATTTGGATAGCTTCAGTACTTTTACTTCTCTTTAAAATTTACTGAAACAAAGATTTGCAAGCACTGCAGAATGGGTTCAGGCCACTGTAGTCCAATTTTTCTCAAATGCCATCACATCTTCATCCACCTACAAATTCCTTTCTTATTTTCCACAAGATTAGCCTTGGAACCTTCAGGTTTGAGGTTCCCACAAAGTGGGAACTTAATTCCCACATGCACAGTTCTTTTAAGATCTAACCACAGTAGGAAAATACTTCCCCTAACTTCAGTATTGGTCTCCAAATTCAAATGAACTGAATAGCTGTAGCACTATTGATGGTTTTAATTTTTTTTTTTTCTTGAAAGGCCTCTCTTTGCGCTTTGAAGGTCTGCTATATGTGGTTTTAATCAATTGTATTTATATTGACCAGCAGTACCAACCCACTATCTGGGTCAGAGTTTTACATATAAGGTGAGAGGGACCCTCACTGGGAGTATATTAGTGATGAGTGTGGGTTAAGGATTACAGGTACTTCAGAAAATATTTATTTATTTGAAAATAAACAAAGTATCCTTGTAAATACTTGACTTCTGCAGCATTGAGAATATTTTTGTAACACAAGGGACAGAGACAGCTTAATTAAAATTTTCCTCCGTGCTTCAACTCCTCAGCTCCATAGCAAGAGGAATCTAAGCTCATACCTGAGTGCAGTAGTAATGCCAAGGCTCGAGGCAACATTGTTAGCTACTCACATCAACGGAATGAAGTTATACAGCTCACTTCCACCTGAGAGAAGAACTATTGTAACAGTTCCTGCGTCGCTAACGAGACACAGATGTCGCCATTGGGCAAACAGGGGCAAGATTGTTTTGTGGTTCGTCATGCAGCTCTCCCTGACACAGCTCAGTGCACCTTAGAGAGGTGTCTCTCTCTGGGGGCTTCAAGCAGTGCATTTTTTTTTAGCTGGAGGCCATCCTCTGCCGCAGCAATGTGAGAACTCCCTAAGAGCCCAGCAGGGATCAGAGACAGGGAGAGGGCGCTTAGCTGTTTTAAACAAGCAGAATTTTGTTGGTCTCACTGAAAGACAGGGGCTTTAATCAGATGAGGACCTGAGCTGTAAAACAAAGCTAGACCGAGGCAGGAGAATGATCTGGAACTCTTCTCAGGAACTCTTCTCCCACCAAAGAATCTGCTTCCTCATGTGAATGCTGCTTGCGCACAAACAAGAGCATGTGGATGCCAATCTCCACCCTCCAGTTTATTTGCAGGAGGGTACTTGTGAAGTATTTCAAGACTTCCTTATCCCAAAGACTAAATACACAGGGCTGTCTCCATTCCAGCTAGCTTGAGCTGAGGGAAGAGAGATAAAATTTAAATATGGATAGAAGGAGTGTGGCAGTGCACAGGGCTCTTGTCATGCCAGCCAGGTGCCAGCATATGTCAGTAGTCTTGTAAGTGGCCAATTAAAAAAAAAAAAAAAAAAAAAAAAAAAAAATTCTTGGCAAATAGCTTCCTCCAACAAAATCTTTGAGAGTTCCTGTATTTTTCAAAAGTTACATTTTCCAGAGAGTCATCTATTTGCCACGAAGCGTTAATCTCAACTACCTCTTTCTGTCCAATTACTTCCCACAAGTCAGTTTCTCTTCCTGACCTAGAAAACTTATTTACAAGATATACTTGGTTGACTACAGATCTTCATCTGCAACTTCCCTCTGCTACTTGCTCTGCTAAGCACAGCAACAAAGACAGAGGCTTTATCTTCTTTTAAATTTTTTTTCTAGGAAGGAAAAGTGAAACAGGCAGTGTGTTCCCATGCTCTACCTCCAGCGGCACAGGAAGGCAATGGTGCGTGTTCCCAGCACAAATCAGTTGTTGCAGGAGCAGGAAGATAGTGTTTATCACAGCTAGCTGCTGAATGTTTAAGGAGTATTATGAGTATCTGTTACATAAATGAAACAAATAACGAAATTAACATAAAAACCCTGAGGGAAAGTGATAAGTTGTTGCTGTCTGTTTTAGATCCAAGAAACACAGAGAATACATTGTGTAAACTTCTACCTCTGAGCTAGTGACTGCTTAAGAGTGCAGTACAGCTTTTTTTTTGTCTGGTCCTTCACGTCTCTTTTTGTGTTGCTGGAGGATTTCTTGCTCCAACTGAATTTTAGCCTTGAATTTATCATTATGCATTTGTACAGAAGCTGAAGGTTACAGTGGAAATAGGGATCTCTTTGTATTAAGTTTATTGCAAAAGGAAAGGAATACAAAGTCTTCATTTTCACTGCTGACATTAACAGAGACTGTAGAATCTACGAAACACCTTTGGTCATAATAGTGTTTTGAACCTGAAGTGTGTAATTTTTTTATGGTCTGTCTATTAAGAATATTCTTTGAGTGCAGGTTCAGTGAGGAGCTCTGCACAAACAAGGTCAGGCATATTGTCATTAAATTGTCCAGAATGATCAAAATAATTTCACAATAAGCTTAGATCACCTTGGTAGCTTAACTCAGTGTCCATTTACCTGGAATATGCTTTCTTTGGACAGAGTAAAACTGGATATTAAAACTCTGTTATTCCAGTTACTGGATGGTTTCTTCCTGGAAGAATAGATGGAACACAAACCGATGGAGTCTGGTATCACTAATTTGTAAGTAACAAAAATACCAACTTTTATAGAATCCACTGAACTTGAAGCTGATTCTATCTATTTAAATTGGTACCTAGTACATGTCACATTATGATATAGGTGTGAATATGCTTGGCCAGGATATGTATGCACAGCAGAGAAACATTCACTTAAGTGCACACCCACACATCCCCATATGCTTTGAACAGATCTAAATGGTGACTGAAGGATGAAGAAGGCTGAGCCACATAAACATTATCCACAATGACTATTAATTTCAAGGCAAAGCAATAATTTATAAAGGCTGTTAGGAAGCAATGTAAATGCAAATGCTCTTCTAATAAGTGCTGGGAGTATTACGCTGGGACGTGTTTGTGATTCACCACAGTGTGTTCAGCAGGGAGGAGCGTGGATGATTTCTGTGGAAGATGGTGACAGGAGTAAAGAGGTGAAAACTGACAGGAATGTGGTGTTTGGGGACTCGGTCCAAGGAGCAGCTCTAGCATGGGCTGACTTAGCAGTGCAGTGCAGTAAGCAGTGCTTGGTGCTGGAGCGAGGACAGGCAATAGCAGGAATAATTAATCAATAATTCATTATGGAAAAATGCTACCAGCTGTAAAATCAATTTGTAGAATAATGCCCTCCAGTAATGCCAGAAGTTATAAATATATTCATATTTTTTGAAATAGATAGTACAAGCTGGAGACAAATGCTTATATAATATAGCTGACTTTTTAAAAATGAAAAGGCTTCTTCTGATGGCAGCCAGTGAAAATTAGGCAACTAGTATAGAATCCTAGTACTGAAAATAGCATTCTTAGAGCAAAAGGTCTTAATAACAATGTTAACAACATTTTTTTTCTCATATAAATATTTTATATCCTGGTGCAGGAATAAAGTTCCTATCTCTTATGTTTTTCATTTTCCTAGCAGAGCTTTACATATTTTATTTATCGTTCTGCATGATCTATTAGGTAACTTTATCAGCAAGTGTTTTATGAAAAGCAGTATTGTTGGATAATAATGATCATCTGGCTATCTATAATTAATATGTATGAATTAAATTATTTTAAAGACTTGGCCAGCTTTGAATAAATAGTAATCCCATCTATATTTGACTTTTACACAATTTCTACTTTTGATACTTTGGCCCAATCATGTAATATTTGGGTTGTAGAAACTTCAAAAGATTGTTTTAAATACTGACATTGTAGTTATTTCAGAAAGAGTAAGCTTGTATTTTCTTTTAGAAAATATATTGGCTTAAGCATAAAAAATGAAATGTAAATTTGGGCTTTAATTTGTTCAGTAATTTAAATTTCAAAGGCAATGAGTAAGATTGAAATATTTTTTTCTTTCTTTGGGATGTCGTTTACTGAAATATATTATTAGAAATATATGTGACACCAAATATATAGATCATGAACCTGTTATGATGTACATTCAACAGCTTAAATTTATACTAATACAGTATATCCTGCCTATATTAGTTCATGGATGACTATTTGGAAAGGAGCGGATTGCGTTTTTTAACTCATACATAATTCAGAAAGTGTCATTATCTAAAACAACACTGGCTTTAGTCTCTCTGATACCTTTGCCACTGTGTAGCAGGTGCAATTTGAGACCCACACGGAGCGCCTCTCCACGCTGGCAGCCTGTTCCAGAGCACACCAGGACCAAGCACTGACTTATTGCTGTGTGCTTTGTACCATCCCACCAAACCAGCCTCTTCCACCACACATCCTGATAACGGCACAAGATACAATTTCACTGTTTCTCTCTGTGGTTCATTTTCTGTTTAAAAAAAAGCCCTCAAAATGCTGCTGCTACTGTTACTAGAAACAGCACTTCGCTGTGCTTCTTTATATGTCAGAATACCTAAGAAATTTAGTTGCTAGTTTTGTGTCTCTTTTCACAGAAGGAGAAGCTGGGGCAGATGTTGACCTGAGATCTGGAGCACAGCTTCCCAGTGGGGGTGCCAGGATAGAAGACCTCCCATCACCACTTTTGCTCCTGAGGGATGAGGGGCAGACCCGTACCGTGGTCACAAGCACCAAGGAATTTTGTGTAGATGTTCCAGAGCTTCAGAAACACACGCTTGACCTTCAAGAGTTGCTGCTGATTTGTTCAGCACTCACACAGTGAGCTATGTCTCCTGCTATGTCTCCTGCTATGCCTCCTGGGTGCTGCTGCAGTGCAGCCACCTTTCCTTTTGTTTGGACACCTTTATCTGTACAGCTGAAGGGAGCACTGTGTGGACTGTGAATTCCTCTGCAAGATCATGTAAATACTTGGACAGTACATGCTGTTTCTCTAATATTAATCTAACTAGCTAAAACTGGTTTGCATACATCTGCAGCTACAACAGAAATTTAATGATAAATATTCCCAAATGTAGCTATGCAAATAGTGGCATATTCTGAATAAATATGTGAAATGCATTATAGTAGTCAAAAATTCTTCCATTTTTCCTTCAAGAAAAAAACAAAGGATGATTTTTCCTTTATGGCACAGGCCAGGTTCTCATGGCACAGGCCAGGTTCTCTTTTGTAATGTTTAGAATTTCATACATCTTATGAGTATAAAAGGATCATAAAACCTGGAGTAAACATTCAAGGATTATTTTACTGTGGCCTGTGTTAGCCTTCTTTCTATCAGAGGTGCAGAGTGGTTGTGCCCATACATAAGTGATTACTGGCTGACAAATATCTACAATAACAGAGGTTGTTATGTAAAAAATTAACAGACAAAACCACCCACATAAACAAACAAACAAACAAACTCATATGCCCTTCATCATAGTGCAAAAGATACTAAAAACTGGAATTGCACATGGTAGTAGTCCCAGCCATGTATAAATCTCAAAAGGTGAGAGTCATTCTTGGAAATGGTGCCACCCCTAAAGAGAGAGCATAGAGGCTAATCTTATTTGAAGGATGAGATCATCTCCTCTTGATGGTGGCCTTACCTGTAGCTAAAATAATTCATCTTTGACTTAAAATCCTACAAAATTGCCTTCTGCCCAGACCAAATGGGATGGCTACTGTTCTCAAGGTCAGCTCTGGAGGGGTTCACCAGGCCAACACCTCTGTTCCCCTATAACTGTCTACTTCCATGAATGGTTATGGAAGTATCTTACGGTTGCCAAGAAGGTGCCAGGAAAGATCTGGGAAGGAGAGGGGCAGTTCTGAGGGCTGGAGTTTAACTGCATGAATCTGCTGCAGCTGCCATTGCCACCTCCAGGAGATAGATAGAAACAAGTACCTACCCAAGAAATGGGAGAGAGGAGCATCCCTGGGCTTACAACCATACAGACTGTACATAACTTACTAAACTCCCACAAAGTGACAACATTTTATTTCTTACCAGGGCAGACTGGTGCATCCCAAGCAAACCAAGCATTTAACTGTGGGTGACTAACTACAGGTGTAATGAATTGAAAGCCACGTGGCTAAGCCAAGTACAAGCTTTTCGAAGCATATCTTCTTAAAAATGAGGTTTAGCAAATGAACAAAATGCTCCCAGAACTGCTGAATTTGTTTTCTTAGCATTTTAGTAATTGTTTAACCTGACCATTTCAAATTATCTCTTGAAAGAAATGGACATATTCAGGAGGGAAGATACCCTGTATTTCTAAGGCAAAATACTTCTATAAAATAACATAGCTATTACTTATAGCTATCCAAAATGGTATTATGCTGAGCTGTCATATTTTGTCTTGCAGCCTTTTCATACTGTTGAAATATCAACATTATATGTACTGCTTGTGTATAGTTAACTCTTGGTTTCCTGGTGTAAGATGGGTAGGAAACATTTGTAATGTATTAACATGAACAGAAAAACACCCCCCCTCAAAAAAACCAATCCCTTGTAAATTAGAGTAAGACTAGATAATACCTGAAGAGTATTATCTAGCCTGAAGAGTTACCAATTAACAAAATGAATGGCATATCCTGGTATATATGTGTATTTTAAATCATACTGATTTTTTGTTGAAGCTGGAAAACAGGAAGACAGTGAAACTAAGAGAAAATGTAAGTCGCAAAAACATTTGACACCGTAAATTATGTTTTGTTGACTACTTGTAGTGAAAAATGGGGGTTTCTGGAGATAATTGCATGTTTTCTCAAGTAATAACCATCCTTACTCTGAATCTTGATGATTATTTACTGATTTATTTTTTTTTTCCTATTCATAAATAACTAGACTGATTTCAGCAAGAGAAAAAGCCCAGCATAAAGGACATGCTAGTATGCACCATGGAGGATATGAATAATCAGAAGTATTTGCATTATACAAATATGTTGCTTACAGACACTAAAAAAGGTGTTAACACAACACATCCTTAAATATTGTTGAGATGTTGTTGAGTATATTTGTACATATTTCTCTAGGTACAATTCTCTTCTTTCATTCATTCCCATTTATGACAATTCACGTAGTGTGTGATGGGCCTTCGACACAGATCTATAACCACTGAGATTTGTGACACTGATCAGAATACAATGAGAGCCCTGAAATCCCATTCTCTGAAGTGAAACATCCCTATGAATCACAGGTATTGTGTTACCAGACAGCGCAGCAAAAAATTAACCAGAGCAAAACACTCGACTTGGTGCTGTTACAGCTAATAGGTCTGAAATGAAAGATAATTGCATATTAAAATAGAGTGGGTAGCTCTGTTTTGATGTAGAGATATAAAGATGTCAGGCAAGCTAGGCTCCAGCAGCAGGGAATGGGTGCCCTGAAGTGATTGAGGAGTGAAGCCCAAGAGAGCATTCCTCACATTCCTGCGGCACTCCTCCTATACATATGCCCCCCAAAAAAGGGAATTCCAGCACTCCGGATTGGTAAACTGAGCTTCAGAAAAGCTGGCACTTTTCTATAGCTGCAGGCTTGATTAATTTGAAGGAATTATTATCATCTCTGGATGATGAACACGAGGCATATTTAAACTGTTATTTTTTAGGGCAAAGGACATGACATTTCCAATCTGTTACTTAAAAAAAAAAAAAAAAAAAAAAAAAAAAATATTAAAAATCCCCCATAAGGACTTCTAGTAAGCACCAATAAGCAAGATGTAGAGAATGTGGAGCACTCCCTAGTATTTTCCCATGATCTGCCCAGAATAATTGGTATTACTGCAAAAATATTTTGCTGACATATATGAGTGGGATTAGCCCAAAGAGCTATCTTTGTTAATGAGCCATATCTAGAAATTGAGTAGGTTTAGTAGATTACTGTCTGAAGACACAGCATTTTTGAGAGCCACTTATGTCTAAAAGTGTAGCATATTTTCTCCTGGGACTAGCAGTGTATGTTTTGTAAGGACAAGATGGTTATCCCTGGGAAATTTCACAAAAAAAATCAAATAAAGATGACACTACCTTACTTGGAATTGAAATGTGACTGCTAGTGACTGGGAATTAAACAGATTTATTAGTGTTGACATTATTTACATTGCGTGATCCGTATCAGCGAAGGGTACACATCACTTGTGAAAGCAAATACATTAATAGTATTACCCCGCCGCTAATGGCACGCTAATAATACTTCCATGCTCCGCGTTTGTCAGGCTGCTGCTGAGACGTGCTCGGTGTCGTGGTAAACAAAGAAAATCAGCCATGTTGTGAGACCCTTTATTCTTCAAAAACTTAAGTTCACGTGAGAAGAATCCGCCTCTAGATAACCCCCAGCATAGTGATAAATTAACGATTTCACACCCCTCCCTTCCTCGTTTTTACCCCATATAGCAAAGACAGAGGGGACAGCCGGCTGATACGGATTACTTTGGAGAAGCGTGACAACAGGTGGCCTCCCCGAAGTCACTAGATTCGGCAGATCAAGTCTTTATTTTATTTATTTATTTATTTATTTTGGCGTCCAGCTTGCCCATCACCAGTATCCGTGCACAGGGAGCACCACCGAAGCTGAGACGATGCGCGTCCCTCGGGACCATGGCGGCGGCCGCTCAGACTTCTTTTTTGGTGGTTAAACCCGGCAAGGACGTGTTCCCAGGGGGAGGATGCTGAGGCACCGCAGCCGAGGGGACCCCGCCGGCCGCGACCCCCGCCGACCCGGCCTCCCTCCCGCCTGCGTCCCGCCTCGGCCCGCCCCCCGCCGCTCCGCCTCCCCGAGCCGGCAACTTCCCCGCCGCCGAGGCGGGCGCGGAGCCCCCCATCAGCCCGGATGGGAGGAGGAGGAAGAGGAGGGAGGAGGCGACGACGACGGTGCCCGAGGGGATGCGGCGGAGCGGGCCGGCGGGAGGCGTAGAGCCGGCTCGAGAGGGAGCGCCGAGCCCTTGTCGCCGCCGCCGCCGCTGCCACCGGCGGGGCTCGGCCGCCGCCTGCAGCTCCGGGCGGCGGCGCTGCTGAGCCCGCGCTGCCTGCGCGCCGCCGCCTCCCGCTCCTCGCCCAGCGCTCCGGCCGCGCAGCGCCAGGCCGCGGCCGCCCTCCCCCAGCGCCTCCCGGGCGGCGGCGGGAGGCAGCAGGGGCGCGATGGCGTCCTACGTGGATAACAGCTTCCGCCAGGCGGTGATGAAGAACCCGGCGGAGCGGAGCCCCCAGGTAAGCGCCCCTTGCCCGCGGACCCCGCGGGCGGCGGCGGGGCCGCCCCGCTGCCCCCGCCCGCCCCGCGCAGCCCGGCCGGGGCAGCCCGCAGCTCCGCGGCCCCGCTCCGGGGCAGCGCCGGCAGGGCTGACCCCCTCCCAGCCCCCGCCAAACTCCCCGGCGCTGAATTCCCGGTCGGCAGCTCCGGGGAAGGGAAGGCGCGCATTAACGCGACAACTTTCCTCCTACTCCCTGATTTTGGGGGAAGGAGAGGGAGAAGCGCCAGCTGGGTTTGTTTTGAAGGTTGCTTCCGGTAAAAAGAAAATGAACTTAGAGTATAATTTTTCCGTGGTGTGGTTTTTCTTTTTTCCCTTATTTTCTTTTTCCTTTTTTCCCTCCCCCTCTGTGTGTTTTGTTATTGCCCCGAAGTACGGGTGGCTCGGGATTTGAATTCAATCCCTACTTTTACATAGCTGGCTGGAGCTGGCAGCGCTGTTTCATAATGTAGGGACTGAGGTCAGTGGTATTCTTGGCAAGTCCTTGCTCTCCAAAGTAGGGTGAAATCCTTACACAATGGCACCAGGCAGGAATTTTTTAGATACCTGCGCCGTGCTCCTGGAGCCCTCTTTATCAGAGGAGTGTGTGAGTCGAAGCTGTTTGTAAGCGTAGTTGCGCTTAGAGGGGCTGAGAAAGGTTAAGCTGGGGACTGGAGTGCATACAGCAACGTTGTGACTTAACATGACCTGAAAAACAACTAAACTGAATGAGTTCCTTCTGCTCCCGAACGGTTGCTGCAGTGGCTGCTGCTGCCAACTGTCTAAAGACTAATAAGCTTTACACTGATCCCCACATCAAGCCGCGGTTCAATAGCTAATGATACAAGGAGTTACTTTGCTTGGAGTTGTAATGCCATCTGTCCTATTTTTTAAAGGCTTGCCCTGCTCTCTGAGCAGTCCCTGTATTCGGGTTTTGGGGAAGAGATGCTGTTACTGATTGTTTTGGCAGGCGTCTGACTGGCTGGTGATGATTTTAAACTGGGGCAAAGAGGAAACCTGGACTTTTGCTCAGCACCCATAAGTCATTCCTCCTACTATAGATACGTCATTGTGGTAATGTTATTTTTATCCCTGTACTCATGGAATATGTGTGAGAAAATAAAACTTCTCATGGAAAAACATACTGACTGCATAGGCATCGTATGTGGCATGCCTTTTTGGCAGCTCTATTTTTTTTTTCTTTTATATAAAAAGGGAGCTGCTTCTGGAACATGTTTTTGTGGTGCTAAACTTGTTTCTCTGTCCTTGTTTGACCTTTTCCAAGTGTCTGTTTGCCTTCAGTGCTGGACCCAGCCCTTCAGTGTGTTGTGAAAGCTGAAGGAGGCTGAGTGCTCTCTCCTGGAGAAGACACTCTCTGCAAACTTGCAGCGAGGTCACTTGAATTGGTGGAGGTGTAGATTCCAGCTGGGGGGAGCCTGCCAGCAGTGTCCATCCTCAGGACATGGTTATGGAAGCATGGTGGGGTGCTTAGGAGGAGACATACAGGCAGATGCTCAGAAACCACTAGGTCAGGCTGTGGGGCCACCAGGCTGGGCTTGGGGGATGATGCTTTCCCCGGGGTATGATCTGTGCCATGTGAACTCTTAAACTTTCTCGTGTCCTTGCTAGTTGGCCTTGCTGTCTAGAAGGGATAATAAGGAAACACAAAAAGGCAGAAAGTAAGAAATGACGCAGTGAAGAATGCAGCCTGAATGCAGGGACAAAGCCCAGTGAAGGGCACAGAGCAGAGAGCTAAATTGGGAACACCAGGGCTGCGTTAGTGCTGTAAAACTTCCCGAATCAGCACACGGGCAGCCTGCTGTGGCAATCACCACAGGAAAAGAAACCCACCCTTAAATCCATGAAACTGACACTGGTCCAAAATAATCCACAGACAAGACCAAGTATGTGGGAAATCTAATGTGTTGTTAGCACTGGAAATACTTGAAACTGGTGCTGCCCTCCTGTTGCTGCTGGGGAGACTGGGTTTGCAGCAGAAAACTTGGTTGGTGTTTTTGTAAATGGCCCATGTTGAATTGTGTGTGTTAGTTTTCTACTGTTGGTTCTCTGTTCAGGAAGTTTGATTTTATTTTACAACAGTATTGGAATTGGAAAGAAATATGCTTATGCACATCATCTTTCATCATTACGTAAAAAGGAAAAAAAAATATAGGAAGGTACAAAGACCTTGTTCTTCCTTCTTCCCTTAAAGTAACTTATTGTCTCTTTACTTGTATTTTCCTGTCCTTGCTCTGCTATCTCTAAAAGATAGCTACTTAATTTTGGCTTTTGGGAAGTCAAGAGAGGGTTGAAAAGAGAAAATATATTTATCATATTCGTGTCAGTGCAGGAAATAGCAAGAGAAGTATGTTAGTAGCATATTTGCTTCTTACTTATGTTAACAAACTCCTTGAGGCTCAGCTTCTCTCAAATCATGAAGAGGTAAATATCTGTTTGGCATTACTATTCACCCTGGACTGTCAGGGTGTAAATTTGGCACCATGCCTTCACTGCAGGCTCAGAGGACAGGAGTGACAGAATGATAGCCAGTATGTACAACTTCGAGAAGTAGGTCTAATAAACATTGTTGGGGGAAGCAAACTTAACTTGGCATGAACTTTTGTAGTGCAATGATCTCTTGGTAATATTGGATTTGAACTGATTTTTTTTTTTTCTTTGAGGTAAACAGTGTATTCTGCAATTCTACAATTTCAAATTCATTACTTTATATCTCTTTGGTATATCCTCCTTTACAGAGTGTTCCTGACTTTTGTGAACTCAATATTCTGTTGGCTAAAGAAAATGAGAAATAAAAGAAAAGGTTATACATGTGGCCTGTACTTTAACATGCCTGTTGTGTTACTCTTCTCTTTAATTGATGTATTAAACTATTCATTTTCTCTTTGAAGACATGAACTAGGAAGTTAATTTGACTACTTTGGGGAATCTAACTTTTAAATGTTCATAAATTACAAATTGTTTTATGCCCTTAAGCTGTGAGTAATAGCGATCTAGTTTTTTTCTCTCCTAACGTCCTCTTGCATGGACTGTTATAGCTTTAAGTCTTTAGAAAACAAATTTTTTTTGGCATCATAGGCCATTTTAGAAAGCATGCAGTTTTATACTGGTGTAGCTTGGTTGAAAGAATAGCGCTGCTTTTGTTTTCAAACAAGAGAAGCTGAACCCTAATCTTTCTTTATCCTAACAACTCATTTGCATGGCATGGTATGTGAATGGCTGGTTGCTTCAGAAACTCTGCATACTGTTCACTGTTTTCATGCCATGTGGTGACGTCTGCAGGAAGAAATTTTTTGAATGTGTGCCTTATATATGTTAGATGGCTAAGGTTTGCTTCTGGAAACTGCAGGTGTGGTGCATGGGGGCAGTTCAGCACAGCAGTAGTGAAGAGCAGAGATGTAACAGCACCGCACCAGATCTTCAGGGCGGAGGGGAGAACTGTACAGTAGCCCTTAGTTTGATACTAATGCGTCATTTAATGTCAGAAGACATCTAAACAGGATGCTGTTGTAAAGCAGATACTCCCTTCTTGAACACTTGGGAGGAAAAATGGTTTAATTATAGGATGTACCTATGCTTTTTCCAAATAAACTTTCAGCTTGTTCCCTAGTTTTGTTATTTTTATACTTGTAACCAGTGATAGCATGATTGTGTGCAATCTTCAGATAAGCCAGAAATGAACATTTCCTTCTTGCTACAGTGATCTCTTACAAAATAAATACAAGGCTGTGTATTTTAATGGGATCAGAGGAACTAAGCATTTTATATGCGAGTCTAGCAAAAGAATATTTAGTCTTTAAATTCAGGCTGATCATGTGTCTGTATATCAAATACACTAGAAGACTAAAATGATCTGTGTCAAAAGAGCTTATTTGGGATTTCTTTCCTTTGAAAAACAAAAATATTTTGGAGCTTGAGTTGTGCTTTCAGATTTTCTTCACTTTGTTGTGTTGCCATCTTTTTGAGGTGAGCATTTACAGAGGAGGATAACCCCTGTTATCAGGCTGCTAACAGCAGTATAATGCTGAGAACTGATTCTGTTGCTAAACTCTCCTGCTGGCTTTTGGTAGCCCTGAGAAGTGAAGGACTGTGGCAGCTGATGCCTGGTATTTGGCTGTATTGCGCTGATGCAGTGGTGTTTCCATAATGCATCTCAGGGCTTTGTTATGTGGTTATTCAGGAGCAGCCTTACTTTGCCAGGTTGGACATTCTGTTTCTTTCTGGGGAGCCCATTTGGCCAACAAAATTAGATTCCTAACTGCTTCCCATGGTGGTGGTCAGGCTTTCTGCTGACTGCAGTGAGTAATTCTCTGAAGTGGGGTCATGAGTCTGTTATGTTTTGTGTTAACATTGGGACCATCATTAGTAATGCAGCTTAATAAAGAAAGGTTGTTGCTGGTTCTTGATCTGGGCTCCTTTCTTGCTCAGCAGTGGGCTTCAAGTAGAATTGCCATCATAAAGTCAGCTGTAAGGGTAGTTGGTCTGAACTAAAAAAAAACAACAAACCTCTAGATGCTGTAGGGTTTTGGAAACTTGTTCAAAATAGTTAACATACCCTGAATGTGTCTGAAAAACTGTAGATTAAGTGATGTCTTGTGGTGGTTCTTGGGCTGTAGGTAGGGGAGATGAATACAGATGAAACAAGTTACTATAGGCTTGTGTATGTAGAGACCTTTAACCACAGGGATTTTTCCTGCTGTGTTTCAGCACTTAACTGGCAGTATAAAAACCAAAGGAACTATTGGGAAAAAGTAAGACCTTTACCTGACAAAGCAAACAATGTATTTGTTTAATAGACATAATGTATTTTGGAAGTGTACATTTTTTTTTCTCTTAATGTTTTTCTCAAGCTAGTATTACTATGCAGCATTATTTCATGCCCAACAAACTTGTATGAATATATCTTTTTATAGCTGATAAGTAAAGCTGAAAATCCTTGCATAGCTGAGATTTTCTTGTGAACTC